TATGTGTATAATCTATGGCAGCACTGCACACAAAACACTCTTTCTTCCTAATGCCGGCACTTGGCTATTCGCATTTGCTATTTTAAAACATGACATCAGTCTGTTCTTTTCATTTCTTATTAAGCATGACATGGACAAACTGTTGTCAAGTGAAGGGCCGGCATAAAACTTGTTACTCTGTGGTTGTGGTGCATGCAGTTTGCCTTCGTAGTAATCTGTGGCATTCGTGCATTCCAAAGAGTAGTTTATTATACCGGAAAGTGCATTCTCGTTTCGGATTACCTGTTGTGTGTGTAAATTTGCGATCGCTTTTCCTTTAATTTAATTAATTCGGCTATCTAATATGCCATCGATGTTACCAAAGAGCAGAACCCTTATTATCAAGTGCTAGTGAACCTGTGCCACAACATCCTGAGAGGATCATACTGCCAAATTATTCAAGAACACCTGATACACATTCACACTGCATATTTACACAATATACATGTGATATACAAATAAATACAATATACAATATGATACAATTTTGTGAAAAATAGTCAATAAATAAGAAGCAAAACTACAGTTTTTATTTTATTCATGATTCCTACCTAACCAAGTTTTTCCTAATAGTTATTCTTTAAAATCGCACCGAATAAGATGAATTAGTTGTAATATTAATTCACTTCATACTGAGTTCATACTAAATTCATAGGTTGACCTATGTTTTATTGAATATTAAACATAACCTCAAAAAAAAATTAGTTTTCCTAATATTTTAAGTTCTCAGAAGTGTCCGTCAATAATATTTGTTTTTACAGTCATTTACTTACGATTTTGAACCTAGAAAATAATATTTCACGATTGTTGGTTCTTAGGCTAACTATGTATGGACGCTGAACAATGTCCTTTGAAAAACGACCTTAAGCTTATTTTACGTTTATAAGGCTTTGTGATTAATCCCGTCTATTTCCAGCTGTTCCTAGTAATCGGACGTATTACACGCTCCCAGATGGCTACACTGTAAGCGACACCTTTAATAGGCGACATGCATTAATCCTGGCCCGTCTCTTAGGGCGCTTGTTGACAAGACGATTTCTACGCGGGTCTTGGCACAGTTTTAAACCGTGTCTACGTCCAGCTACGTCCAGACGTCAGTTAGGTATGGGACGTTATGTAGGTTTCACCGCACCGGCCGGCATCGGCCCGAAAATCTCGTTAATAAGCGCCCATAAGGTTGGAATCTTTCTGTATTGTAGCTGTTTGGTGAATGCTACGGATCTTGCCTATCGTAACTCAGTCCATTGTTTTTTGTCTATAAGGGCGCTACGCTTGCTTTACAAATAACATTTATAGCAACCAACGTTACAAAGGCTCTGTAAATATCGTATTGTACCACTTGTATAAAGAATGATTTTTTGGAGACCATTTCGCATTCACAAGACGGGGACTCATAACAAGTTTATAAGGGTTTTCTGTAAAGGACACGTCCGCGAGGACAAGGATTAATTAGGACCTGTTAACTCGATCAAGGAAAGACAGATATTCAATCTTTATTTATCACAAGTCTGTATGTAGATATTTGTTGATTATGTACATGGGCTTGCAAGAATGTTGCGTCATTGTCATATAATTTCAATGATGTGTTTTAACGAGTATGGCATGTTCATTTATCGGTTGATCTGCCAGTTTCATAGGTGAGTACTGCTCGATCGAAGACGAGGCCCAAACACGAATGTAGACGGCTCCGTAATCGTGACGTCATCGTTAAATTTTGTATGGAAGGAGCCAGTTTCCACTTACGTCTGGTAGGGGCGCTGCTTAGTTTTCATAGAAATTTTAACGATGCAATATGATTATGGAGCTGTAAAAATTTGTGCTCTGGCCTCTGATTTAAATTAGATACTGTTGTCGATTCTGGCATGATTCTCTAAACTTAAAACTAAATTTAACTTCAGTCTTTTCTTTTCATTCTGTATAAAGAATGACAAGGATACACTATTGTCTAATTAAAGTTTAGGTTTAGAGAAACATGTCAGCTTTGATACCTCTTTCTGTATTAGTAAACCCCTGCAACTGCTACAAAGACTATTATCGGTTGTACGATTGCACTTTTGCCTTTCCTTTGCTTCACATTATAACAGATAAAGATCAAGAATTTTTTGCATAAGTGTCAGACCATAGCATTTGTTAGGTTAATAGATGATAAGGAAACATTTCCAGCCTGATATTTCGACCTAGATGAATTTTTCCCTAATAAAATTTTCAGCACGGTCGAAGCTTAAAATTGGTAAGAATTCTAGCGATCTCAGGTTGTCAAACAATAAAACTAAAGGTAATTTATATTAACATTATGTAATAAAATGTCTTTTTCTATCTAATATTAGGTAATAAGACGTACAAAACATATATTTTTTTCACATTTTAACAGTTTTAAAATAAAATAAGTTTTATATTAAATAGCACACACAAGATAAACATAATACAATTTGTATACCTATCTTCATGGTTTTACATGCGACAAAAAAATGATTGTGGATATTCTTATTTAAACTTGTAATATTTAATTATGTTCAATATTATTTAGTAAATTTAGAGAATATGACTAGATGAGTGTAAAAAATATCCAAAATCATTTTGTTTTTTAAAATAATGTATGCAAACCTACAAGCTATGGCAACATGGAATGAAACTATAATCTAAGTTTACATATATGTCAAACTAAGTGTAAATGGACACCGTACAAAACTATTTTCGTAGATGAAGAGCAAGCGCATTTAAGCCACTAGACGCATCCACAAGCTGTGGCCGAGTTTTATTTATACAATTTGTATAGTATCGGCGCAAACTAAGCATAGAGGTATAAGAATAGGGTAGGGGAGAAATAGACTCTACTACAAGTGGAAGTGTCCCTCTAATAGAAAGAGAAAGACGATGAGAGACCGCTAGCTTTCTCTCTCTAATCGCGCATGCGTATTGGCAACCGTAAGCATCTTACTATTTCGATATGATGCTTGGACCAACTATTGGTCAGACGACTGCGCATGCGTCACAAGAGAGAGAGATAGCCAGCGGTCTCACCTTCTTTCTCTTTCTACTAGACGGACACTTTTAGAGCCGCCTTCCCCACTATTCTTATACCTGTCCTCTATGAAACTAAGCGTTCGAGTGGCCTCCACAGCCACTAGCGGCGGAAGTCGGTGGCTGCGTCTATTAACTTGACTGAGCCACCAGTCGCCGCGTTTATTGGCGCTTGCTCGAAGATGTTTTCAAATAATGTAAATAATTTGAAAAGCATATTACGTCCTCCAATGATTTTTAAAACTATTAAGTAAATAGGTTGCTGGTATTCATTTGACACTTAGTGATTTTATTACAAAGCTACAAGAATCAATATCGGTTGCACATCTGTATCTTGCGCAACTGTATCCCCTGTGGTTGGGTTGCGACTCTACTCTTATTCGCTACTAAGTGTAGTAGGATATAAAAACAAAAAAAAAAATAACTACTTTGAACGACTATTCGTGATGTGTTTCTGTTTAGATTATGCAGGCTTATATTAACTTGTACTATGAATTTAGCTGTTATTGTTGGTATTTACTTACATAAAAAAATCTCTATTGAAGTAAAATGATAACCTAAGATTAAGAAATCATAGATTGCTAAAATAATAAGTAGATACGAAAGGAACAATGTTCAATGGTAACTTAAACCAGAGATTCTAAATATTTATTAATAAAATATTTTTTTCAGAGGTGACATGTAGCTACTTACTGAATTTAAAACTGATGCATTTATCGAATTTGTGTTTTATTTTTTATAATACATACTTACCTACCTAAGTTATAGAAAAATCATTTACTTACATTTATTTTTAGTACCAAATATTTTAATGTAAGTAATAAAATCAACTAATAAATGGCACTTTACATATAAAACATTAACATAACACATAATTATAGTTATATTTACAATTTCTCTTATATTTAATTAGATTAATTTATCAACTAACAATATCCCTCAAATTGAAGAGGTTCTTAGGAATAGCTACAGAATTGTCATTTTTGTTGTCATCACATTTCAATATCAGGAACAGTGAGCTATTTATCGCTATCGCTTTATTAAATATAATTACCTACACTTGATCGTTAGCCCGTATTCGGGTATTCGGGTACACGAAAATAATTTTTCGTATTTGGGCACCCGAAGCAATATTTACACTAGAATATGGGCTGGAAGACGGTGTCGTGTCGGGTCGAAAACTACATGTTTTTTTACCTAAGTAATTAGCCCCGTTACAGGGCTTACTAGTTTTCGTTACTAGATTTGACAAATAAGTATCGATAAACAGCTGTTATGTACAAACACATAGTCCAAAGGCATTTAAAAGACCGATACCACTACGTATTTTGATACCATTTAAGAGCCCTTTCACATTTTTTGCAGAAATCGTAATTTTTGAGCGCCTCGTTTACTCACTTAGAAAAGATTTTGACTATTTTCAATAGAAGTAAACAGTAGATTTATTCTTCCTATTGTAACTTAATGTAGAATATTTGCAAATACTATTTTCCTTTTTTTGTACTGATCGTTCTACTGCAGCTAGTTTACGGAAAAAACGATAATATGCACAACTTCAAACGCCTCAATCTCTCAATAATGTTCAATAAATTAGATCAAATTAATAACTACGACATCAGAAATATGTTTTTGGTGTAACATAATGTATTAGAATTTTCCATCTCATTAATTATCAAACAAAAAACATCTAACCTCCGTAAGTTTTCCCAAAAATAATGCAGGTTTACCTCGTATTTTGATATTGAATTAAATAGAATCAATATCAAAAACTTTCATAAAAACTAATCTACCATCATTGAACTACTGAAATATGTATATATTTTTATAATTAGTTCATTAATAATTATTTTATAAGACTCGAAACATCACCCGTAAAATGCAATATATACTAGTGCAAATCTACCTACGCGCCGATCAGTACGGCACCGGCGCAATTTTGTAAAAGGGCTCTTAAGTACTCTTACTCTTAGTTTGGTCCAAACTCAGCAAGAATCATTTCTAACACCCTTGAATAAATACTTAAACTAAATAGGAACTTTACACGTGATTTGTCTCGACTACATCCTCTTCTCCTTTCTTCTGTCGCTTCTTACCTTCTAAGTCTGCATAGATGTCTTCTAGAGATCTCATTTTGGTTTCCGGCACGCAGAAGATGAGGTAGAATACGTTGGAGAGGCATATAATGCTGAACATCCAGAAGGTTGAGTGGTAACCAATCCAGGCGTTCAACGGTGAGAATAGTTTGAGGAGAGCGAAGTCGGTGGCCAGGGATATCGCCATTATTAGTGTAGCTACAGTGCCTCGTAACTGAAAGAGAAGGATAAACCTCAGTGCTGCTGGTAAATATGTTTAAAATTATTTTCAGTATTGTCATGAAATATAACTATGTATATTGTAATTTAAATTATTTGTGCCTGTAAATCTCTTAGGTCTGGGTGTGAAGAAATAATTGAGGATCAGCGTCAGCAGCTTAGGATTCTTCAGACGAATTTTACTTAAAACGGATTGATCAGTTGAGGTCATTGAATTATCTAGGACATGTTTTAGAAAGGTAAGTCGTTTTAGAAACCGACCTACGTTTTGATTTATAGAAAGACCTAGCGTTTTTGTATCCTATGTCACAGGATACAAAAACGCTAGGTCTTTCTAGGATTAAATATCTAAAGAATAGGTAAGTTAAAACAAGAATTGAATGTGTATACAATGTATATTAAGTATTTTAAGTTTCAACTTACAAAAAATCCCAAATTTAAGGGCGTCCATTAGATGGTAGGCTTTGTTGTCAGTTTACTGGCAGTCAGGATTATATATAACTAATGAATAACCTGTCGTCTAATGGGTGACTGGTGACTTTAGTCGCGATCAGTTTTTTGTTATTAATGACTGATGGAATTGACTGACGGCTGAATGAGCGTCTAATAGACACCTTACTTAATAGTTAGGTACATATATTTTTTATGTTTAACACCAACCTGGAAGTTAAACATCTCCGTCATAATCACGAACGGTAGCGGCTGCAGTCCCGACGCGTCGGCGAATATGCAGACGCAGAGCGCCACTATGGGCACCCAGCCGGGCATGAACACGCCCGCGCTCTGCAGGTAGAACCATACGCCTAGCAGGCACATGCTGAACCCGGCCACTACGCTCGTCACGGCCAGGAGAGGCTGCGATAATAACAATAACACACTATATCCCTAGTGTCTACACAGTGATAATATGCAGAAGCAGAGCGCCGCTATGGGCACCCGGCCGGGCATGACACGCCCGCGCTCTGCAGGTAGAACCAAACGCCTAGCAGGTACATGCTGAACCCGGCCACTACGCTCGTCACGGCCAGGAGAGGCTGCGATAACAATAATAAAACACTATATCTCTAGTGTCTACACTGTGATAATATGCAGAAACAGAGCGCCGCTATGGGCATCCAGCCGGGCATGAACACGCCCGCGCTCTGCAGGTAGAACCATACGCTTAGCAGGCGCATGCTGAACCCGGCCACTACGCTCGTCACGGCCAGGAGAGGCTGCGATAACAACAATAACACACTACTTAAATCCCTAGCGTCTGCACGGATAATATATAGAAGCAGAGCGCCGCTATGAGCACGCTCTGCAGGTAGAACCACACCACGAACCACCAACCTAGCAGGCACATGCTGAACCCGGCCGCTACGCTTAGTGTTGCCAGGTGTCCCGATTTTCAGGGTTCTGGGTAAGCGTCCCGATTTGTACTTGATCGGGACGCTAAATGTCCCGATTAATCAAAAAATAAAAATTGAGGTCATTAATATAATACTATACTTGCACTAGTACTTTAAAACTCATTAAATTAAACCCATACTTATAAACCCCTTATTTTTTGTTTACTGTCCCGATCTGCAACCCTAAATTCCGATTTTTTTGACCTCATGTACCGATTTAAAACAAATCGGACCTGGCAACACTAACTACACTCGTCACAGCCAGGAGAGGCTAGGATAGGAGATAATTTATATGAATACAAGATGACCCGGTGGAGTTCGTATGGTGTGTACCTATCGTAACGACAAAAACTCTCTTCGCTTAAATGGTGGAAACGTCAAATATTTGACAGGAAAGTAGGTTACTACAACAGTTTATATGGGAAAATTATATTATTGTTTTACTATCTCCCTCGCAATTTGTCCATAGTTTCTCACTGTTTAAACCTTCCTAGACTACGAGAAACATTACCAAACAAAAATCTGCACAATCGGCCCGGCTGTTCTCTAGTTTTAGGGAGACAAAACCAACAGAAATTGTTTTTTTTAATATGTATAGATATTGATTGGGTGAGCCCTATGCTCGTCATTTGGTGGAATGCTGATATGACGGCCTGCAGCTGAGATGGAATGAAAATGGATGGTGGTAGGTCACGTCCCAATCTCACTATTCCATCCATAGGGAAGGACTCTGCCCCAGCAGTGAGGTGTTCCAGGGCTCCACGGGGTAGGGAACACAATTCCCTAATAGCCCTCGAATTTTTTTCACCGACAGATACACAATACTACGAAAAGCTAGTGTTATTTTATTATTGTCTTCTCTAAGAAGGACGTTACTTTCGCAGACGGGCGTACCAATTTGAGTGGAAATTCCGCTATGCCCTACCTTTCATATACATATTAGTCGTTATTAAAACTTGAACACATCCAAGTTGGCTAAGCAAAGTTATTCAAGGAAATTATAAAAATGCAAGTCAAGTTCTCGTCGATGTGCTTAGCAGTCAATTTGTTAAATCGCCTAGTAACTTGCTATTACATAGCTATCTACCTGCATACTGAACTGAGATCTTGCGTTTCACGTAATAATTAAGTACCTACCTAAGTAGGTACACAATTATTATTGTATACTCACGGAATTTTCCGTAATAGTTGCCAGGGATCGGGTACATGAGCAAATTACATATAATTCATATACTTATGTAGGATTGCCCATATCTGGATAAATACCCAACACCAACAGTCTTAATTTGATGTTTTCCGTAAAACCACCAACGTAGATTCGTAACGGTAAAACCAAATATGTATTATATTTAACTAAGATAATATGAGATAAGGATCTGATACAAATCAGGTAGCTAGGCTTTCCTTCAAATCACGATTTCATTTATCAAATTTGTCTGTATTAAGAAGTTTAGAAAGAAAAAAAAACTCGATTTTTGAAATGACGACGACCGTTTTATAATATTCTTCAGTTATTTATTCAGGTACCAAGACCTTAAAACCGTAGAAGGAATACTTTTTTTAACTAGTTTTAAATAACCAAACTATAATAATTTACAAAAAGAAAACAATTTTTACATACCTTACGCCCGGCCCTATCCACGAGTTGACACGCCAAAAACGACCCAAAGATCTGCACCACAGCGAGCAAGATCGACTGCTTGTTCGGCGACAGAGCGATGCTAGTGTTAGGGTCTTTGCCAGCCTCGGCGAAGATGTGGCTGGCGTACACGAGGACGGCTATACAGCCACAGAACTCCCGAGTCAGGTTCACTATGAGAGCCACCCAGAAGGCTTTCACTGCTGTCTTGTCGGAGACTGAAAAGGGACGGATTATTATGTTTTTGTGGCTGCTAGATGTTTTAAAAACTAAGAATCCTATGTCCTTCACATAGGATTCTTAGGTTTTATCCCGAGCATTATCCTTTAAGGGGGTGAAAGTTTGTATGGGAAACCAATTTTTCTACGTAGACAAAGTCGCGTGCACCCACTATTACCTAGGCCATAAAAAAGAATCCTTATTCCCTATTCAAGCTATAGCTTGAACCAAGCCAATCATAAGTTATAACTTAAAATTTCCTTTACCGGTTCCGTCTATCGTTTTTTATACTTTGTTATAAGTTGTTATAAAAAAAAACGGACATGACTGTGTTGTCCACATGCGATAGAAGTGAAACCTACAAAAATGTGAACACGTAAAAGTCCTTCATGACTAGGTATTGTAAAATACTGGAAAAAATTAAATATTCCGTACTTAAGTTGTTTCGAAAAATAAATATTAGCTTAATAAAGAAAAACAAAATAATTAAAAGACTAACCGATCATTTGGTGGCGACCTCAAGACTGTTGTTACCGTTCGGCTATCTGTCTCTTGGAGAGAGTTACAAAATTACAGATACCTTGTGTCAAATACTGTCGCTTTTTCGTTTCATTGAATTTCTAATCACAACAGCGCTAAAGAAGTGTTCATTTCAAAAGATAAAAGTTACGCAGGAAATTTGAAAATTTAAGAAAACTTAACTTAACCGATAGGTTAGTGTGCACGCAACTTTACCAATATATTCATCTCGACAAATTAAGGTTTTAAACAAATTTTCGCGTAGTTAATTGGGATCCGAACCTACTCGGGAAGTTACTAATATGAATTTTATTCAATATTATTGCTCATAGAATCTGATAGGAGTGAAGATTCACACCCACCATAACAGACCACAATTGAAATGGGTCATGTGTCAAATACCCAACGAACTTTGTTTTGACGATGAATAAAAAGTAACTCGATTGACCGCGCGACCGTTCAATTGTGACGTCACAAATACTTTGTTTATATCGCAAACGAATATATATTGGCGCAATTATGATTTATTGGAATTGAATAGCGACGTGTCTGTGTCCTTGATACTTGGTCGCGTTAGTGTCGTCATGTATCAACGATTCTCTAATTCGCTTGGTGTAGTGTCAAATGACGCAGGTCAATTGACCATTCAAACCTCCTCGTTGACCTGTTTTGTTATTGTTATACATACTGCACGTGACTGTGTTTTGGTACGATAGTAAAATTTCTTTCTAGATAGATCTCTTAAGTTTAAACATAAACAAAAAGACGAAGTAAATAAGATTGGAGAATTCGATTTAGGTACCATTTCGTGGTTATAAAATTGAGCAGCATCTGTTCGAAAGGGGCTATTTCCATGCTAAGTAAATGTTGATAAAATTGAAAAAAACCTTAGCTGATTTGATGATGTAAGTGGTGTATTTTTTTTATTCAGGTAATTCATGAGGAGGCCACTTATCTTCTGGGTAAATTTATTTATTATTGTTATTATTAAAAAGCACAAAATTAAGTAAATAAAAATGGAAATAGTACTTTTTGGTCAAGAATTATAATAAATAGCATCAACAAATAAACTTTTTGAAGATTTTTTTTTTAATTGGAAGCTACATTTATGCCAAAATATATAAAACAACTTGGCATTGATTAATTGTCATTAATATTTGACAGTTTGATAAAAAAATATTATGTGTCGAACAACAACTTTTAAATGAGCTAAAGATAGCACCGTTTGAATTTAAGTTCAAATTTGAAGGGGTTATAATTACTTTCGATCAAAACTAAACACAGTCTGTGATATGATCTTAGAATACCAGTAGAATTCATGAAAAAAAACTATTAATCAGTAAATACGGAAATAGCCCCCTTTGAACAGACGCTCCTCAATTGATACCTACCACTGATTGTTTAGTATATTTTTTTAACGGGATTGTTACCATGTACCTTGTTTTTAGCGAGTTTCCCATATTTGGGCACTGTTGCAAGCCCCATCATCACGGAATAACAAGGTACATGGTAACAATCCCGTAAATAACATAAATTACTATAATGTCAGTCGCCATGAACGTTAAAACGATATATTGTTTAGTATATCTACGCGGTATAAGAACTTTATATATATAATTTATTCATGACCATGAACCTTCAGCCGTATACATAGCTTTTTTTTTACATTACAATGTCGGTGTGGCGCATTCTCATATTTCTTGGACTGTTTGGCACGAAATGATCGACTTTGCTTTTTCGATAAGCTTCTGTGAGGTAGTCAACACTACAATAAGTTCTCATGCCTAAAGATCCCACTAATCCTGCAGTTGTGCAGACTGTTGTAACACAAAATCACACAAATTTTATTTCACAATAGCCACTCTGAAGGAGTTTAAGAATAATTAAAATAAGATGCCAACCGCACTCGATGAAATCCCGTCAACAACTCCCGGTATAATAACTCACACACCGGTTTTGCCACTGTAAGGTCTGGGATGCAAGGCGAAGCAACTTCAGAACGGACTAGAAGTTTGGAGCGATCTGTTAGTGAAATCAAGATGATCCTAGGGATAGGTACACTTACAGAGAAGTTTTGGTGAGAATTTGGGTTCACTGGTAGTTTGCTCAATGGTGAGCCGGTCCACCTCCTCAGTTATAGTCTTGTCATCTTCAGGCAGGGAGCGAAGCCACGCCAACACCTTGGTCGTTTCCTGTGAGAAAAACCACAACATTTTATAACTACAATATGCCAAGATACTGCGCCTACCAAGAATCGTATATTCGCAAGTGGAATTCTCTGCTCGCGCACGTGTTCCCCCCTTACTACAATCTGGGGTCCTTGAAGAGAAGCGTGATGAAGCATTTATGCAGGCCGGCCAGGTGAGGATGGTTGGTGTGGCAGCTTATAACTGCTGCACCAACTATCTTCGCGTCTGCATTTTACCACCACTTAGCTCAGGTGGGGTAGCGAGTCACAGAACACAGAAAGAGGTAGAATCATTTGCTTACCTAGCTATAAAAAAAAGTGTGCACGGACCACACATCTGAAGTGAAACTTCTTTTCTTAAATCATCATTAACCTAACATTTGTTTTTCTGTTTAGCAAATAGTTTCTTTTACGCATATAGGTTGAGTATCTTTTTACACCCGAATTCCCGAGGGAGTGGCCCCGCGGGCCCGCCTGCTCTGCCTTAAATCCGGCCTTACTCTTAAGTGTGATTAGCTAATGTTTCTCTCTCAATGGCTCGTTGCCTTTTGGCCACGAATTGGGTAGATGAGACCACCTTGGTTTATCGATAATTTATTGTAGCTCAACAACAGACAAACGCTCCCTAATGGATATTTAATATGCTTAGGCCGCATAATTAACGCACAAACGAATGTAAAGTGGCTCGGCGGTCGGCCCGACACCATGGGGAGAAAACGAACTGTCATTCTCTTGCACATTTTAATGCCAGTTGGCCTAAAAATTTACTTAAGTGTCATTGGTAGGTTAAACGCCTATACGGGATTTTAAATATTATAATGAACTCAAAAAACTCAAACACAAACTCATTTATTCAGTCTAGGATGTTACAAGCTCTTGTGAAAGTCAGACGCTACGCCATCGGTTCGTAAATCTACGGCGTGAGACCTTGTACTGAGAAGAACCGGTAAGAAACTCAGCAAGGGTTATTTTTTTCTCCCTGTTTTGTTTCATACAGTGTCGTCAATTGAAAGATGACATCAAAAATTGAAAACGTGTTGATGTCAACTTCCATCACATTAATATTATTAATTAACAAAAGTGAAGTATAGCTAGGTACTATTTTTAAATTTAGAAGTGGCGATTAAACAATTTTCACCCAATAGCCTATTATATTAAGCCCAAGGTGACATCATTTACGAAATCTTTAACAGTATAGTAACCTTTCTTAATGAGACATGTTTTTATACACACTTTAAACTAATTAAAAGGTAAATTTATTATTTCTTTTTGTATTTTATTATTGTAACATATACCTTGACCCACAAATGAACCAAGAACCTTTTGGTTGAGACTCCAAAAGGTGGCAATTTGAGTTTATCTTTATTTCTGGTATTCAAATTATGTACATCATCGCGCCTGGTATATAAATTTATGTTCCGACGCACAAACAATATACAATTGTAAATATATTGAGAGGCAGCAGTCATTATACCTATTTCTTTAAATTTATCCCTAAGAGAAGTTCGAGATCCCAAGCGATAAATAGCTCTTACAGCTCGTTTTTGAAGAATAAATAAAATTGTAAATGATTCCCAGAATTTATACGTACGCAGAAACCTTGTTTGAAAGGTTTCAATCTAGATTCTATTTTAGGCAAATGTAGGGTATAGATATTAATAAACTACAGAGAAAAACTTTTATTTTACTGAAAGCCCAAAAAAGCAAATAAAAACATTTTAATATTGTAAGTAGGTACTTACTTACCTAAAGCATTTTAATAAGTAGCGTGCCTAATACTTTATTTTTCTCTTAATAACTAATTAACGTAGAGACTACTACGTTTGTGTGGTGAAATATTTACATCGCGTGTTATATTTATTTATTTGTTGCATTGTTGAGTCGAAACCCTAATCATTCAACTGTCAGTTGAAACAGATTGGTTATTAAGATTACATATTTCAAGAATAATATGTTCCCCATAATACTAATAAAAGTATTTTTGTTTGTAGGTAAGTACCTATAGCATAAATATTGCGAAAAAAGTTTACGCAGCGAACAAAAGCTTGACTGACACGCTTTCCAAAGAAGTTGGGAGTCATCTGTATTAAGTTTCGCTATTATTGAAAGTAATTTATATTCTTAAATCTATTGAAATGGAATAATAATAGTCCATTCCATTAGGTGTTATTAAAGAACTTAGGTACCTATCTCTTTAATTTTGTTTGCTTGGTCGGTGGGAGTCAAGGGCAAATGTAAGCCAATCTTTATAGGTTCTTTCAGAGGTTATTTATTAGGTAACCACAAACTTTTTTTAATTTAATTATACCTAATTTTCATTGCAAAAATAATAGGTAGTAAATGGCGGACATTATGCCACAAGGTATTTTCAACCAGTCGAAACTTACCTACAGTTTCTACTAAAACAATATTTTTGTGCCTATGAGGGCATAATACCTTCCGATGATTTTTCCAAAATATTCTGTTACTAACGTCTGAAATCTAATAACGGTAGGAAACAAGAAGATATAAAGAAAGTTAATTTCAACATTTTAAATTTGGTAAAAGAAAAAGAAATATCCCAGGAGGTAATTTTTTATTTTATGCCGAAGTGAAAATTTCAATCTTTGTGAATGTCGGTAGGTAGATTTGGTATGAAAATTAAGTTTGTTTTAAAAGATAATTTTCTTTTGTTCAAGATTTTTCAAACACCTGGTTATTATTTTTCCAATGTTGCTAGAGAAATTACTCTTTTTGTTTTCACAATCGTAGAATGGATTCGGCGATCATTAAATTTATTCTTAATTTTGTTCTTTCTTTTGCCGGCTCTGATATCGGAATACGTGGGAATTTTTTAAACAACATGATAAACAGTATTCGTTCATGTAAGTTCTAATTTGCTTCTGTTCTTAATTTTTTTTCTGTTTCACAATGATTGAGTACCTACCTAACATAATGCAATGACCTATCAACCTAATTTGGTTCCTTATTTGCAATTATTGGTGTTTATTTATTTTGTATCTATATCATGTACTTAGATGCGCTTCGCTACACAATAAAAAGAACCTGCCTACTTAATTCAATTCAATTGGAAATGCAAAGGTGGTAATTTTAACATATAAAAAGGCATTATGGACCTTGTACAGTATCGCAATTGGAAGAGAACTTACTTAAGTATGAAATTAGAAGCGAATTTATAAATCTAAATAAAATATTACTCGAATAATATTTCTTTTGATATTATCGACCGATAATAACACGCCCATGAAGGCTTTACGAGCTATAAAGTGACTTTATTGATACACGATTCGCAATCTTTACACAATTTCTTCAATCAGAAATTTTGATTTGAATGAATGAATGTAATATTCTATGGTTATGGAAACTTACTTGAGTTTTGCCGCACTTGATAAGATAGGACGGTGTCTCCGGCAGCCTCAGGAGTATGCAGAAATGTACCACTGGGATAGCCAGCAGTATCCATAGCACGGTGTTGAACGGTAGTAGGTCGCCCAAAACGAACACTAGGAGATTCCCAGCCGTCTGTTAACAAAAATAAGGCGTAAGCAGCTGGTTTTTAAGAGCGTACTTCAGTGCCAGGGGCGTATTTTTGTAAAACAAAATAGATTGGTCTTGATCTAGGCTGTTGCAAGAGGTTTGCCTGTGAAAATCGGGGATTTATTATCTAACTTTTTGCATTCCGTTATTGCTTTCATTTTCATAGTTGGGAAAGCGATATATTATGTGTGTCACATTGGCCCTTTTCTTTATAGTTTTAAAAATGATATAATTAGTGTTTGTTGCTCAACAGAGCCAGTTAAAGTTAACTTTAAATTTTTATCTGGCTTCACTTGGACGAATTGAAATTTATGATCTCATGTTATCTATCTTCGAATGGTGCAACCTATTTTTTATCTAAGCGGTACTTTGACTGTACACAGTCAGCGGGTAAAAAGTGGTAAAGATGGTAATACCTAGGTAAAGATGAATTTAGTCAGCCAGAATTTAGACTTTCATTAAAGTTTGACAAGACAAGAGCTTTCTTATAATATTATTACAAGTTTTTTATTTTTAATTATTTTATTATGTTCATCGCGTCTTGATGGCAGATTAATTGGGTAATGAAAGGGAATGGAAAACAGAAATAAGTTTTTAAGTAAAAGCTCGTTTAAAAGATAATGCAAAGAAAGGTAAGCTTCGAGTTTAATTAACTTAAAAGGCAAGCTTGTATTCTTCTTTATTATTGTGGTACTTCAATCAAAGCTCAATTTACTATTTTTTGGCAAAAACTTTGTATTATTTTGTGTTGAAAAAACAAATGATTTTATTTAGATTTTTTATATCAACAAGACAAACTTCGATTTGAGAAATCTTGGAGAAAATACTGCCTACGTACATAAATTAAATTAGTATTGGTGAGTGAACTCATCTTTTATTTCCGGGAAGACGATGTTAAAAGTGATCAAAGCGTAAATTAATTAAGTGGTAAATATATTGTTCTTCGATGGAAGAAAATATAACGTGTCATTCCTCAATGATAAATTATTACAGGTCCAATTCTTTGCATTATTTATGTACTTTTTCCCTGTTGTCATTGTTTAGTTATTGAATATCAAATGCTTTTAGTCCGGAACGTGGCAAACAAGCTTATTTTTTAAGGGCGTACCTTAGATTAAAACAAAAAGGGAACATACGGCACTCGCTGCTCAAGTGATCCGCTTAAATTGTGGTGCATGACCATAATTCGCTTTAGTCACAATTGGACATTCAAACACGCTGCATGTGCAATCACTGTGTTATAAAGATAAAACAATGCTGCATTTAACTGCTAGATGTTCAAATCTAAAGAAAATTTTACTAGCAAAAATCCAAAGATTTTTTTTTAGTTTTTATTGAGCGAGTGCAATTTACCTGTGAGAATATGACGAAAGTTCCCGTCATGCCTCTGATACTATCCTCACTGATTTCCTTCACATATAGGGGGCAGACCACGAACCCTCCCCCAGATCCGAAGCCAATCAACGCCCGGGCACCGATCAGAGCGATCGGATGAGTGCATATCAGCTTCACAGCCCAGCCGACCTGTTGAGAATGGAAAATCTTACATATTTTTCGAAAAGATTAGGAAAGTTAAGCGACGTTCACTAAGGCTTGTCATTGAATGGGTGACCAAAAGTCAAGTGTTCTGAGTTTCAGCCGCCGGTAGTCATAGCTGTATATATCTGCAATGTGCACTTTTTGGAGATTTCGCCATTTCCATAATTAAGAGTAGTATACTCTATTATGCTAAACGATTTTCGAATACAGAGACTGATATACGAGTCTTTGGCATAATAGTGGTGGAAAAAGGTTGCTTCAAAAATATATATATCAGCCAGAATATTGTTAAATATTAATTTCTATGATATTGTTAAAATTTTTGCACATAGCGCGAGCGTTTTTCATTTACTTACAATAGAAAGATTACGTCTGTTACTAACACTTGTCTATGGATTTAATGTCTGGAATAATAGTTTATTGTTATTATTATTATAGCAGATTTAGGTTGACACCTACTTGTAATGTTTATTAGGCTATTACCAGTATTAGTATTAGGCATTCTAGCAGTATAGTAGTATCCTAGCAGTATGTGTCTAGTCTAGTGCTAGGATACAGGCAATTACGTTAACTTTTATCTTAATATCTTTATTAGACACATGCATTGCCTACTTTACGGACAGACAAATAAACAGAGAGCATCGTGAGAGCCCAGTATGGAATGGTGGGTATATAGTTTAAGAGCTATTTAAACTGCATTATAGAAAAGATTCATATAATTTTTTATTTTAATCGATATGTGTATAAAACAAGTGTATACAATAAACTCGTTGAGCTAGGTATACTTGTTTTCATATATTTACAGCAATATTAATAATCTATCAATAAAAGTTAGTTGTGAATAATAAAATAAAAAAACAAAAAACCTTAAAAAAACTTAGATTTGTAAATCACAACGATCATTTCAAAAACTGGCCTTATTGGTATAAATTCGTTAATGATTAAAATAAAAATGGAATTAAAACTGTTATAACACCGAACATCGTATAGTATTATAAGTCAATATATTGAAGTTCTTATAGGTACCTACCTACTTACCTAGCTATTATCCATACTTTAATAGGTAGTTGCTTTATACTGTTAATGTAATTTGCCAAAAGGCACATCCTAGTAGAATTATTGCCCTTATAACAAAGAAATACGTAGTTAAATAATCAAATGAAAACATCGCCAAAATGGAAAGTCTTTGTTAGAGAACTCACCCTTTATTATTAACAAACAATCTAACATTTCCGTATTTATTTGAGCTGTGCTTTGTCACTGATATTCGTTTTAGAATTGACAAATGGATCAAAGTCGAGTCGTTTCCGATCAAAAAACAGAGTTGCTGTATAGCTTAATGTAATTAGGTATGCAGGTACTATAGGGGCATAATATTTTAGTATAACCTATCTACAACAGAGTACCTATTTTATACTTTTATACGAGGCGAGGCGCAACAAATTTACCCGCCTTACCTGATGTTAAGTGGGAGTGGAGCCCAGTCGCGAAGATAGATGATGCGGCAGAAAGTATGCCGCTGCAGCCATCGTCACCTTGCCGACCTGAACCCAATCCTCTACCCTGCGGAGACCTGGACCCCTACTCACCAGCAGAAATACAACACCACCAAAATGTGGTGTTATTTTACTGTGGTCTTCTGTGAGGTTGCTTCCCTACTGCTCCAATTCAAGCGGAAAATCCGCTGTCTTAACTCTCTTAAATTTTATGCAGTTAAAAGGATCTGAATATCGTATTACGAACTCCGAGTTTTAGAATGAGACTTATAATTTAACAACAGGCTATCTATGGTCGAGGTTAATTTATAATCGAAACTGAACCCGAATAGAAAATCAGTTTCATAAAATTTTACGTAAATATTTCGTAATAAATAAAATGGTCGAGACAATTTACCTAAAAATTCTACTCCCCCCCCCCCCCCCCTGAACTGACATTCATATTTATAAATATCTTTTTGCGCTGAAATTTATTTATTGGCTGGTATGTATGGATTTTTTCGACTTACCGCGATAGGCACAGATGAACATAGCAAAGCGTTCTTCCTGCCAAACTTGTCTGCAGCCACGCCATACACGAAGACTGCTATGGGCGCGAAGATGAACATGATTGAGGCCATCCAGGAGACATCCTCTTCCGACAGTGGAGAGTTAGATGGCGAGTAGTCTCCCATCAGGAGAGCTTTATTAGGAGAGATCCAGCCCATGGCTGTTCCATACGCCAGTATAGGCATGCATACTGTGAAAGAAGAAACTGCAATTAAATGATAGTTTAATTTTTTTTATGGATTTCATTATTTTATTCATAATTTAACAAAACAAGTAATCGTATAAACCAAGCGGGTTTTTTCTTAGTAAAAATATCGGAAATATTTATGAAATCAAGCTGAAAATAAAGAAAATAATAAACCTATATGAGTTTTTGATCATTGATAATGAAGATCTGGGTGTTCATAGCATAGAACAAACAGCCGACGCGAGAAGGAGGGTAGTAGGTATACATAGCTTTCCGCTCTGTCGAATTGGGCATACAAAAGATATTATGTGTGCATGATTTGGCGGTGTATTGAGTCGTTGTTTTTGTGTGAGCGTCTTAATTATTGTTTTGGTTTGTACGTATGTACGTTAAACTGCGTTTGTGTGCATATTATTCGAGTAAGATAGAAAGATTCCAAGAGCTGGACAATAGTGTTAGAAGTCTTAAGAGTAATGCAAACGCAAAGAAAGTCACCTGCATAGGTACTAGCGTCAATTAACTATGTGGGTCGTTTGGTATCAGGAAAGGTACTTCAGATGCTTGTTTGTTGACACTTTTCAGAATCTATTCTTTTTAATTGAGTTCACCGACCAAGAAAGAACCTTAAGAGTGTTGTGATAACAAACAATCTCGATTGTTCGAGTGCATTATTGCATCCATTTGAAGTAATTTCTCTTGTCGATGATATCTTAAATAATATTAGAAATGCGAAAGTAGGTTTGTTTGTGACGCAAGAACTAGGTACATGACCTGGATTACGACATAGAATATTTTTTATCCCGGAAAAATGTAAGGTTCCTATGGAATTTTCAAATAACTGAAGTTAACGCTCATACATTTAAGAATATTTATATCGACATATATGTCAAATGAAATCTATTAAGACCACGTTAGCAGAATTACTCAGCTCGTTATAATAACGAACGTAATTACTGCCGTCAGAGAAATTATATTGAGTACATATGAATCGTCTACTTATGCGATATATCTACCTGCATAGGTACCTATAAGTAGGTTATAAAGTGTTTACATTTAATCCAAACTAATGTTGTAAGTTGTAATGACGTAATGTTGAACGTGAAAGGTTTTTTGGTAAAAAAGAAAGTTGACATTTTCTTAATCTGTGCCAGTTAAATTTATTGATGTTTTTTTTTAAATAAACCTAAGCAATGGAATGTGCATTTTGTTGAATGCATATTTAAAAACGAAAGTTGACTTTTTCGTAATTTGTGCCAGTTAAATTTATTTGAAAACTTTTTTTCAAAATTTACCGAAGCAATGGAATTTGCATTTTGCTGAATGACTGTTGATCTAATTTCTAACCAAAATTGATTATGGTTCTTCAGTCAAAGAGTAGGTACCTATCTAGGCTCAGACGACAAGACGAGCAAAGCGAAGCGCAAGGGCATTGCCTACCGTTTCTCGAAGCATCATCATCTAACCTCACAATCCAATAGGACTCATCGACGTTCGAGTAAATCCATTATAATATTTAGCATCGCAGGCTCCCCTTCTATTATATATATGTAAATATATATTATATTAAAAGAAAAATATAATGATAAGCATCGCTAAAATAGCAACATTGTTACTCCCTCTGATTTTCTGCTTTGGTCTCTCGAATACGATAAGTATGTATCTCACAAATTAATTGAATCGAATAATTTCAGTGTAGCAATATTTGGCAGCTGTGCCCAGAGCTGATGATGTATTTAGCATTTATAGCTAATAATAGTCATGTGGTAATATCAACGATACATAATAGTCATGTTAGGTACTTCCTATTTTATTTTTACTCATAGATCAATACTGAGTTACATCATTTTTTACGCAGAAAATTATCGCATCTTACGTTGATGGCCTGCGCAGACGAGGGACTTTTTTCCGCCAAAGTAAATCGCTTACAATCTGTATCGAGTAAGGCACATGAGAAAGGAGATTGCTCAAATTGGCCCAAATGCACAAAAAATATTGACATACACGGACTCAACGGACACCTTTGTATAATATATTTACTTTAAAAAGGACTTTTCATTTTACCGGTTTGGAAAACATACGAATTCACAATCATCACACAGTTTCTGTCACAGAGTACCTTATTATAACCGGAAATGACACCTGATTTTAAAAGTTACTCTTATGAATGAACTTTAAAAACAGGCAACTATCTGTTAATCTACATGCTCTATATACCTGAATCTAATCCATAATTTCGGTACTTGGCTTGATTTCCCTAGTTTACTATATAACTTATTTGTTTTTTATTATTTTAATATGTTCAGTGTATATGGTTTATAGAAGTTCTCAAGGGTGTCCGTCAATAATATTCGTTTCTACAGTAATTTATATATAATTTCGAATCTAGGAAACAATTTTTCATGATTATTGGTTTTTAGGCCAAACATGTATGGAAGCCGAGCAATCTCCTTTGATGTCCCACGTACAAAAAGTCCCCCAAACAACCGAGGACACAGAGAGACCGGAAAGAACAAAAGTAAAATTAAGTACAGTATACAGTACATGACATTACCTTCTGTACTCCCTATTTTGTGGTACAAAAATATCTCGAAAGGCTATATCAGTTCAAGTAGAAATCTGTCGAACCTTATTTTCAATGAAGGGTTATATTTATCTATCATCTATTTTAAGACAATATGTTCTTAGGATATTTTCTCTTGACCTGCCTTTTTTTCTGATAGCTAAGGACTAAATCTTCAAAAGGCTCCTTTAAACGGGTTAAACGGGTAGGTATCTGCTGTGATTTTAATTTTAGTATTTTTTTGTCTACTTCAATAATTCACACTTTTAGAAAAAGTGCTAAAAATAGTACCTACTTATTTCATTTGCGAGGTCTATAATTAAAGCCAGTGTATTTCAGTTGGTTGATGATGATGATGATTATGATTCAAATAGTATAGTATAGTCACTTTCATGAGTAAATTTAAATAAAAAGGGGTATGATTTCTTTAAAAAATTAAAATAATGGCCTGTGAAATTAGCCAAGTTATGCATCGGTATTCGTAAATGATCCTTGTACCACACAGAACAGCAATCAGATAGTGCTTTTTAACACGAAAGTTTAAGCCGACCAATTTAAATTGCTCCTTAGTTTCATATTACCCACTTATGCGTAGTAGGCACTTTATCCCTAAATCGGAATTGGTTAACTTGGATGGATTTGGATAAGTGACAAATTATTATCTCCATGTGACTTACGTCGAAGATGTTTACTGACCGAATTTATAGCTTCTCGTAGTTCGTGTAACGGGGCATTTAAGTAGGTATAGAAAGTTGACAAACCTACTGACCTGTTTTGTATCACTTATTTACTGTGCCAAGAATTCCATCGTGAACAAAGAGATGATTAGTCATATCTCTATCGCAGAATTCGAAAATGGGATTCTCTGCCAGCGCACGTGTTTCCTCTATAGTTTCGTGACGTTGCGAATAATAAAATTCGTGTTCAAGCTCTAAATTGTAATCCCGTAGGATGGTTAGGAATAAGTAGTAGGTACTATTTTTATTCGTATTTTGGGTTTCGGATCCCAAGGGGCCATATTGCTGCCATTTACGAGCTTGTCTGTCCGTCATCTGTCACAAAGGCTTTCCAACCAAATGGTTGGAGCTACAGCCTTTAAGTTTTTACAGTACCTATAGGTACCCAAGTAGAAAGTATGTTATTGATCGGGTTCCCTCTATCTGGCAAAATCTTGTTGCGCCGAAATTCATTTAGCTTAACACACTTGGCATAATCTTCTATAAACGATTTTTGTAAATATAATCATTGTTTGGCCGAATGTTTACAGATTGCAGAATTTTATTAGACATAAATACTTTTATTAAAAATTTAATTCTGCATAATTTCGTTAAATATAACGTTATTTATGATAGTGGGTTAAGTTAGGTTAGGAAGAATTTTATTTGACATAAATACTTTTATTAAAATTTAATTCTGCATAATTTCGTTAAATATAACGTTATTTATGATAGTGGGTTAGGTAAGGTTATTGTTGTGATCTGCTTTTTAATATCGAATTCGTATCGTTTGCGAGTCCGAAATGTCATTGTCAAATGTGTACTGATTTTTAGTCTTCGTTACGTACTTTGTGCCGCTGCTGTTCAAGTTTCCATACAAAATTTGACATTGTCATTTCGGTTTGCAAACTATTCGAATTCGATAATGGTTCGTGCTAGGGGTACAGAATTTAGTGAGAGGCCACCAAGGGAAGCGAGCTTGCCGCTAACCGATTTTCTACGAAATGAATTTGATTTGATCAGCTGATTTTCATAATAATATTATGACATTAAACGTTCTGCGATATAAGGTAGACTCTTATTGTCCCACAGCCTTACACATAAGAAAATATTTAGAATGGAGTATTTATTTAGATACAATCAAAGGGAGACACAAAAAATAAAATTGTTGACCTACAACATACATGGGCGTATGGTTTTTTAGTGCTCGTTAAGAAAATAATTACTTTGTTTTTAAAAAAATATTGTAAAACTAATTAATGAGAAGCAACCAAATTCAGGTAGGTACTAACAACATCTTGTTTCTAAGAATTTTCAACTTACTTAATAATGCCTGTATTATTATTTGACTTATTTGAGCTAAGATTGTATCAATGCTCATTTTAAAACATCAAGTGTTTTTGTTTTTAAGCATAAAACTGCTAAATGTCTATATCCAAAGAAAATTTTACTTGAAAAAAAAATCATGTATCATGTACATCAAGTGTGTTGAAAAATTAAAATGAGAACTTTCGTTGTCCATATACTTTTGCTGTAGATAGAAAACAAACTTGCTAACACGGTCAAAATTTTAGAAGTATTGCAGCCTATAAGTGAAAACTCTTGAAAGTTGGAAGACTAAATCAATTAGGGTTTAGTGTAGCTGCCCGAAACTGACAAATTTACTTACAAACTTGGCCACTGGCCGTAAAGACCTCGAGACTTGTGTTAGCTTCATAAAAACTTTT